CGCTCACTCCGTCGCGTGGATTCGATCTTACGACTGCTTGGTCTTCTGACCCTGCAGCACAGGCTTCTGCGGTTTAGCCTGCAGCAGCACCACGTCCCCTTATCTTTAGGAAAGTTCTCTGCAAAAATGTGCATCCTAGTGAAAGACAGGTCCATCTATGAAAGGAGTTGTGCAAAATCTGCATATTGAGAAAGCTTGTCTACAAAAATGAATGCAAATGTTCATTTTTTTAAAAAAATAGTGTATACAGTAGAACAAATTTATGTGAAACTTGAACAGAGGTGAAATTGAAACGGATCACATACAGACTAACTTGTACATTCCTTGTTGTCGGTGGATGGATTGTAATGCCTTACCTCCCCTTGCTGGTTGGGAAGTCCTGATCCCAAAGCACCCATGCTTTCAATTTTTGCACATAAAAAAGCTGAAAACATTGGTGGTGTTTTTGTATGTGCATGATACAAACAGAATGTCTAATTTGGATAAGGTCAACAATGACAGAAAGAATTAAACCCTCCTCCTACCTGAAAATCCTGATCTGGATAAGACTTTTGCACTTGCTTTTGAACAAAAAACAGATGCAGCTGTAGACTGTTTAGGAAAACTAGCAGCCAGATCTCCGTGTATTAAACACTGAGCCCCTTTTGAAACACGAGAAATTATGAAGTTCCCCCCTTGAGGTCTCTTTCCAAGTTAAATATTGATGTTAAAAAGTTATAGTTTATGGTTTGTATTTTACCTGAGAAAAGAGACATGCAAATTGGCTTTGAGGTACAAGGTTAAAATTCACCATACTATATTTAAGATTTCTCCATTCCCTCAAACACATTTAGCTGTTTGCTCTTGCATCGTATATCTGAGGAGCTAAATGTCATCTGTGTGTGTGTGTTTAGTCGTTTAGTCGTGTCCGACTCTTCGTGACCCCATGGACCAGAGCACGCCAGGCCCTCCTGTCTTCCACTGCCTCCACTGGTCAAATTCATGTTGGTAGCTTGGATGACAGCAGCCCTGAAATTAAAAGGCGCCTTCTTCTTGGGAGGAACGCGATGACAAATCTTGACAGCATCTTGAAAAGCAGAGACATCACCTTGCCAATAAAAGTCTGAATAGTCAAAGCTATGGTTTTTCCTGTCGTGATGTATGGAAGTGAGAGCTGGACCATAAAGAAAGCAGACCGCCGAAGAATTGATGCCTTTGAATTGTGGTGCTGGAGGAGGCTCTTGAGAATCCCCTGGACTGCAAGGAGAACAAACCTATCAGTTCTAAAGGAAATCAATCCTGAGTGCTCACTGGAAGGACAGATCCTGAAGCTGAGGCTCCAGTACTTTGGCCATCTCATGAGAAGAAAAGAGTCCTTGGAAAAAACCTTGATGTTAGGAAGGTGTGATGGCAAGAGGAGAAGGGGACGACCGAGGATGAGATGGCTGGACAGTGTCTGCGAAGCAACCAACATGAACCTGACACAACTCCGGGAGGCAGTAGAAGACAGGAGGGCCTGGCGTGCTCTGGTCCATGGGGTCACGAAGAGTCGGACACGACTAAACGACTAAACACACACACACACACACATCACTGTGATTGATGAATGTCATTAGCTGGTCTTTTTTGTGCAATGATCCCTACTCCAGTAGGCCCTCCAGAGTTCCTAGTCCAGTCCTCTGAAGACGCCAGCCACAGAGACTGGTAAAACATCAGGAAGAACAGAACACATCCAAAGAGCCCGAAAAACCCACAACAACCAGTCAAGGGATACCTTGCTACTTTGAATGAATTTGGGTGAAGTGTCAGATGATTGGAGAAGGACTAAAGTTCTCCCTAGCCTCAAAAAGGGCAAACAAGAGGGACCAGGGAACTACAGAACAGTCAGTCTGACGTCAATCCCAGGAAAAATCCTGGAGCAGATTATAAAGCAGTCAGTCTGCAACCACCTTGAAAACTATGCAATAATAACTAGAAGCCAACATGGATTTGGCAAGACCAAATCCTCCCAGACTAATCTTATCACATTTTTATTAGGTAACTTTCCTGACAGATGGAATGCTGTAGACATAATATATCATGACTTCAGCAACGCCTCTGACAAAGTTCCCAATGATATTCTGACTAGAAAACTGATCAGGTATGGGCTGGATAAAAACAATTGTCAGGTAGGTGCACAATAGATTACAGAATCACACCCAGAGAGTGCTTATCAAGGGCTCCTTCTCAAAGTGGGAGGCGGTAACAAATGGGGTGCCACAAGCCTCACTCCTGGGATCAGTGCTCTTCAACATTTTTATTAATCACTTGGATGAAGGGGTGTAGGAAATACTTATCAAATTTGTGGATGACATAAAATTGGATGGAATAGTTAATACTTTGGAAGACAGGGGAAAAGTTCAAAAAGATCTTGATAGGTCTGAGCACTGGGCTGAGAACAGAATGAAATTTAAGAGGGATAAGTTTAAAGTTCTACATCTAGGGAAAAAACCCAAATTTAAAATTACAAGATGGGGGATACTTGGCTAAGTAATATTACACATGAGAAAGACTTTGGAATTATAGGTCACATGCTGAATATAAATCAACAATGTTTATATGGCTGCAAAAAAGGCAAATGCTATTTTGGGATTCATTAACAGAAGTATAGTCTCCAAATCCTGTGACGTACAAGTCCCCTTTTATTCAGCACTGGTTAGACATCATCTACTGTAGAGTACTGTATCCAGTTCTGGACACCACACTTTGAGGAGGATGTCAACAAACTGGAACAAGTTCAGAGGAGGGCAACAAGGATAATCGGGGCTGGAAACCAAGCCCCATGAGGAAAGACCGAAAAAACTAGGCATGTTTAGCCTTGAGAAAAGGAGACTGAAAGGAGACATGATCCTTTTCAAATACTTGAAAGGTAGTCATACAGAGGGGCCCACCACCAAAACAGTATTTGAAAAGGTAAGAAAAAACAAACTTGCACAAATTGGTACTTTAGAAAACAATCTGATCTGTGGGGACAAACGAGGTGCTAATTATTGTTGATTCTTCACAAGTCTGCCTGGAATGTGCTCCCATGTTCTACGTATTTATTGACGGAGAATCTCCTGAAGTCATTTCAATGAAGTGCTAATAGGGGTGTTCTTTCCCTATATTCTAGATCACACTCTAGATCTGGGTGGACAAGGAGCGGCCCTCCAAATGTCACAGGACTACATATCCCATCACACAGAGTTAGAATCAGCAAGTGGTGAGGGATGATACAAGCTGCACTTCAACATCTGCAGAACCACAGGTTCTTCACTCTGCTTTGAACACTGGCCTTTAATAAATGTTTTTTAAATAGATTATATTGTAATTTAGAAGGCATTTGCTTAGCATTCCCTGGGATTCCTTAATAATTTAAAGAATGACATGTAAAACACTCTGCCCATTATTTAATTCTCCCCAGCAGCACAAAGGAAAAGGAAGTGCTGGGGTACCCTGCTGAATCTATAACATGGTGTGTACCCTCAAAGATGTTTCCAGGTCCTCTGTAGCACTCAGCAATTCTTTGACAGAGAAATACATGTGGACAAAGTTCACTAAGGGAAGCAATTTGGATACCATTGCTCCAAATAATGCCAATCCACAACTATGTGGTTATCCACTTTAAACAATAACATATGTTTTGAACACAAATTTGGAGAAAAAACAGTGTGATTGACATTCAATGGTTTCCTAGAAAGTATGTAACTCACAAAATGTACTATTTCTGAATGGACAAATGTTTTAAACTTTGACAATCAAAAGAGAATTGGAGGCTCACCTGCCTCCAATTCTCTTCCTGAAATTTCTTTTATCAATGTTCTTTCAACACACATTTTACTTACTGCTTGGCAGATACTAGTGCTCTTGCTCTGGGTTATGCCTCCAATATAGATCACACAAGTCAGAAAAATATGGAAGCTGAGGTTAATTAACATGTGCCAACTTTTAATGCTGATCCTGATGACACTGTTGAACAAAAAAAAATGCAGCATTTCACACCGACATAATTCAATAACAGAAAATATTTACTTTTAACTAGAAATAAGGTCTTACCCTGTTTCCACAAAAATAAGCCCTAGTATGGTTTTTCAGGATTCTTGTAATATAAGGTAAAGGTAAAGGTACACCTTGACATTTTAGTCCAGTCGTGTCTGACTCTAAGGGGCGGTGCTCATCCCGTTTTCAAGCCATAGAGCCAGCATTTTGTCCGAAGACAGTTTCCATTGTCACGTGGCCAGTGTGACTAGGGAACGCCGTTTTATCTTCCCTCTGAGATGGTACCTATTTATCTACTCGCATTTACATGCTTTCGAACTGCTAGGTTGGCGAGGAGCTGGGACAAAGTGACGGGCACTCCCTCCGTCACGTGGATTCGATCTTACGACTGCTGGTCTTCTGACCCTGCAGCACAGGCTTCTGCAGTTTAGCCTGCAGCGCCACCACGTCCCCTGCTCGTAATATATGCCCTCCCCCAAAAATAAGCCCTAGTTAAGTGAAACCCTGCCCTCCACCCTTGTGCAACAACCAAAATATGACAGGACTGTAAAATAAAACATCCCCTGAAAATAAGCCCCAATGCATTTTTGGAGCAAAAATTAATATAAGACCCTCTCTTATTTTTGGGGAAACACAGTATTAACCTGATCTTATGTGGACATTTATGAATAAAGTCGAAATTATCAGTGCTTTACATTATGTGAGAAATTAAAATGGAAATGAAAAGGATCTGGAGAAATGAGATGTACCCAAAGGTTATGGATTACATAGTTGGCTTTTAAACTTATACCTTCAGAAAACATTTTTTAAATTATTGGCTAAAGAAACTATTCTTCTGCAAGAATCTCTACATATTTCAGGGGTTCAAGGACATGTTGTAGGGTACATGTTCAATTTAGAGTTCTGTCCTATGCCTATATGAGTTTCTGAGTGGTTTTCTTTGAATGCACACATGCTGGTATATTTCTGCCCACATGAACATTATTGAGCTCAAAGCAAAAAGACTGTTAGGACAGTCCCCTCCGTTACACATGTCTCTGTGCCTAATGGTTAATCTCAGTTCCTCGTGTCCACTGTTGTCCATGAGTAAACAATAGTGTGGTAGACTGAGGGGAGGATGGGTGGGTTGTGTGAATTTGCAGATAATCACTCAATGATCCACAGTTACAGGTAAGTAACCTGTTCTTCATCATGATCTCTATGAATCATACATGAGGCTAAGCTCACTTATCAACTAGTGGGATGTCATACCAACACAGATGAAATAACTATTCTCTAAACACAGAATGGAGCTCAGCCCTGATGTCCAGCCTGCAATGTTTGAAGAATGTCAAGAGTTGAAACTATAACTACTCTGCAGATATTTCTTAACTGTATTTCTTTGAGAAAGGCTGTGAAGGCCCTGGTAGAATGTCCTCTCAGAGTCGGGGACTGATTTTCAAGCTGGCAGGACAACTTGATTGTGTTTACGAGCTATCTTGATAATTGTGGGGTGATATGCTCAGCCATCTTCGAACCTTAATAACTAACACCTGTGCGATTTCCAGAAGTGTTTGCTTCTGAAGGTATAAAAAAACTAGGGCTCTACAAATGTCCAGTGCCAAAGAGCCTTCTTTAATTCCATTGTAGATGATGGAAAGGAAGTTGGGAGAATAAGAGGGTGATTGAGGTGAAAATCTGAGACTACCTTAACTAGGAAGGAGATGTTAAAGGAAATGATAAATCTGCCCTTGTAAAACTTAGGAAAGGTGGGTCATGTCAGAGAATATACAACTCACTTGCTCTACGTGCAAAAGTGACGACCACCAGGTAGGCTGTCTTGCAGGCAAGCAATCTCTGGTTTAACCTGGCCATTGGCTTGAAGGGTGATACCCTAGTGTTTAACTCTAGTGGTTAAGCACTAGAGAAAGCAACCATTGTGGTGAAACTAGGGGGATGGAGGTCAGATTTCCAGACCAGTTAGTTGAGTGAAGGAAGGGAACCTCCAACATTTCTATCTGTAGCTGTAGTGGTTCCCAACCTTGCATCTCCAGATGTTCTTTAGACTACAACTCACAGAAGCCTTTACCATTAGCTATTCTGGTCAGGATTTCTGGGATTTCCCAAAGTTGGGAACCACTGGTCTAGTAAAAGGTCTTCTAGACATGTATGTTTCTCTTTAGTATTGGATAATTTTCCATGCTGTCAGCCTCAGCCTGGCTAAGTTTGGATGGTGGATTGTTCCTCTGTCCTGAGTGAATAGCTAGGGAACTGAGGGCAACTGGCAAATGTCTGATGCCATTAGTTTTAATGTCACAAACTGAGGTGATAACCCATAGGGCTATCAAGATCATGTTGGTCTTCTTTTCTTAAGAGCTTCACTACCACCCTGTGCAGTAAGGGAATTGACAAGAAGAGTTAAAGAAACTTCTTGGACCTAATGGGTCATGAAGGCATCTCCTAGAAATATTTTCCATGTCCTGCTCTGAAGCAGCACTTCTGACATTTCCTGAGGGGAATGACAAATAGGTCTACACATGGGAGACCCCACTATTGCAAATGTTGTTAGATATTTGTAATCAATTCCCACTTGTGATCTGAAGATGCCTTCCGAATCAGGCTGTCTGCCAATTCATTGTCTTCCCCTGCAACTTGGATGGCCACTGGAAATACATGGCATAGGAGGCACCATTCCCAAAGTTCAATGGCCAGGAACAGAAGAGACAAAGAGTGAGTTCCACCCTGCTTGTTCATATCTTACATGGTTGTTGTGGTGTTGTTGTTGGTAATTTGCATGACTTTGCCAAAATTTTCATTTTCTCAAATGCCTTGAAAGCTTTCAGTACTGCCAGTAGTTCTAGTTCATTTATGTGTAACTTTTCCTGGCCCACCTGGCATATATTTGATGATACTTGTAATGTGCTTCCCATCCTAACAAGCTTGCATCTCTTATCACTTGAATCTTAGGCATCAGATGATTGAATGGGCTTCCTGCAGTTAAACTGGATCTGTTGGTCAATCATAGAAGTTGCTCCACTAGCATATGGGATAAGTTTGGAACTGCAGTCTTTCAGCATGTTGAAAGAGTGCAGATACCAAGCCTGAAGAAATGTCATTTTAAAGAAGACCTGGGGGACTACCACCATAGTAGATGGCATGAGACCAAGAGGTTTTTGAGCTGTGAGGGATGTGACTATCACACCTGATATAAATTCATTTGACACGACTATTATTTTGTTGATCTTGTCCAGAGATAAGTAGGCTCTCGTATTTATGGCGTCCAGCAACTCACTGATCTAATGGACGTTCTGTTGTGGTGTAAAATTTGATTTTTTCAGATTTATGAAGAGATCTGCTGAGAGATGGAGGGTAAATTGGATGCTTCTCTCTGCTTTGCTCTTGGAGTTGGCCACAATTAATCAGTCATTTATATAAGGGAAAACTGTTATGCCCAGAAGTGGGAGGTAGGCAGTGACTGGTGTTATGCAGTTTGTAAAAATTCTGGCTGCTATAGAAAGACCAAGACCTTGAATTGATATATATAGTTGCCCAAAGTGAAACAAAGGAAATGGTGATGATCTGAATGGATGGTATTATGAAAGTAAGAATTCTTCAGGTTGATCATACAGTAGTAAACCAGTGCTCTTTTTTGAGAAGTGGTAATACTGTTTCCAATGCCACCATCCTGAACTTCCTGTGTTTATTTAAGAATTTACATCTCTATAATTGGTCTTAGGCCACTATCTTTCTTTGGAGACGTGAAATAGTGGGAGTAGAACCCGTTGGGAGAAAGTCCCAGAGGGGCAGGCTGTATGGAGTGCCTGTATGGCAGTATGGCAATGTATACCCAGGGTGACAACATCCTGGTTAAACTGATTATAGAGTGGGTCTGATCTAGGTGGCGGTGGCATCTGGGCCTTTAACTCCAATGACCTGTCCATCCTGATCATTAAGTTGATGACTGAAAATCCTGTGATGGGGAGGGACAGTTGATATCCCCCACAGCGGATTCAGGAGTGGTGACAAGAATGGACAGAGCATTTTCTTGTAATTCAGGGTCTGAGTCCAAACTGCTGGAATTAGAACTATCATTTATTCTTGTCTTGCAGGTTGCTTCAAAATTTTGGAATGTTTCCCAGTTCTGGAGGATGCTCTGGTAAGTATGTACTTCAAAGCTGAGATTCTCTGCAAAGAAGAGTACCCAATCTCTTCTGATGTTGGCTGTTAGTGATGAGATTAATCATCATTATCATCAACAACAACAACATAGTTTTGGATAGCTCAGTGGTTTACGTATCTGCCTGTGGAGTCAGATGTTGGGAGTTTGATTCCCCACTATTTGACAGGGGCTGAAGATTTTTAGATGTAAGGGTAATGCTTTCCTGGGTCTCTGCCTGTGTCAATGAGTCATAATGTTCTGGATCTCTCATTCAGACTTGGATTCTGAAGACCAACTCCAGAAGCACGGAATATATTTGGATTACCTAGTGTCCTCTGATGTCAAAACTGAGATTTGGGCTCAGAATCAGTGTGTGGGTTGTCAGGCCCGTTTTGGTGAATTGGATAACCATTAGACACAGGGACATGCACAGTGGGGGAAGCCTGCCTTAACAGTCTTTTTGCTCTGAGTTATAGAATGTTCTAATGAGGTTCCACACAGGAACAGAAACACCCAAATGTGTGATTCACATAGACCATGACAAAGAACCACTAGTTTCAGAACTGCTGGATAGCTCAGTGGTTTAGGTATCTGACTATGAAGCCAGAGACAGGGAGTTCAATTCCTCAAAGGGCCTCCTTGATAGTAGGGGTTGGACTCGATGGTCCATAGGGACCCTTCTAGCTTTGCAGTTCTAAGATGATGATGATATTTATAAATATGGCATGTAAGAACAAGTAATCCTCCTCCCCAGGGAAAATGGTGATCCTTAGTCCTGGGGAGATCACCCTTCTGATCCTTAAAGTATTAAAATGTCCTCTAGCTCTAAAAGTAGAAGTATATCAAAACCAGGAATTGATCTGGCCACAGATTTCATTCTTATGGGGTTGAGCTCACAGTATAAGAGAAGGCAATAAAACTATGTCTATAATTGTCCAACTACCTGATACCTTGCACTCACTGATTTAACATAATTCTATCTAATTTGGTGACTCTCCATTTTAATGCTATATGTGCAATGAAGATCTGATTGCTTGGTTTCTTAATAGACTATAAATGCAAAATTAAGTTACCTGTGATGATAAATGTAGCTAACTTTGATCACCAAGAGGCTCATCAGCAGAAATACAGCAGAGACATAGACAACTGGGTGTAAAAAATCAGCTGACTGGATATATCCTGACAAATCCTGACAGATTAGGTAACATAATACACAGAATGAGTCAGTATCTTTATTTGATGTAAGGAGTATTATAAATTAGACACTTTATTATAACAACCTTTCCATTTTTTTTAAGTGTAAGATTTGGGCACAGCTAAATCAGCCATCATTAGTTTTAATTTTTTTAAAAGACTTCTTTGTTCTGCATGAAGTTCTCAGCTCCATCCTTTGGCAAGAAGTCTCTGAAGACAGGAAATAGTTATAGTAACTGAAGATTAGATCATAATGTAGGGAGAGGGGTAGCTGCTAATCACAATGCAACAGTGAAATTTAGAATAGTAATGATTGAAGGGTTGCAATGTGCTCCAAAATTAACCATGGTAACATTAAACACAAGAAACCATAATGTTTATTTTTGTTCCTCCAGGTGGCAGAATTATACTTTACTTGAAATAGATACCCCTTTATCTATATATAAAACTGTACATAATGTTACTCTTTTAGAAAGTATGTTGATTCTTTTCTACTGAAGGATTAGATATAATTTTAAGAATGAAAGAATAAGTGTGTTCAGTTCAGGGATTATTCTGATTAACTTTTGAAAATATTTATCAATAAATATATCAGGGGATCAGGGAATAGGGATCCATCCTGCGCTTGACAGGGTTACACTCTCCCTGAAAAATATAAATGTAGAGTTTGGGTGTGCTCCTGGAATTGTCTCTAAGCCTGGATGCCCAGGTTCTGGTGGTGGCCAGGAGTGCATTCACACAGTTAAAACTAGTGCACAAGCTGCATCCATTCCTGGAGATGTTTAATATTGCCATGGTGATACATGCTTTCATTACATCACAGTTGGATTACTGTAACATGCTCTACATAGGGCTGCATTTGGAAAGTGTTCAGAAACCTCAGCTGGTCCAATATGCTACAGCTAAATTGTTAACTGGGACAATTTAGGGATCATACAACTTCCCTGGTACAACAATTCCATCAGATGCCAGTCCATTTCCAGACACAATTCAAAGTGCTGGTTTTAACCTATAAAGCCCTAAACAGCTTGGGTCCAAGGTAATTTTTTTTTAAAAAATGCATCTCCCTTCATGGGCCTGCCTGGATATTAAGGTCTGTAAGGGAGCCTTTTCTCTTGCTCCCACCATGCTCACAGGTGCGTTTGGTGGGGATACAGCATAGGGCCTTCTCTACTGCCACTCCCAGACTTTGGAACTTCTTCTCACAGGAGGTCAGACTGGCCCCATCTTTCCTGTTGTTCCACAAACAGGCAAAGACCTTTCTTTTCAGGCATGGTCTCTTTTTAAATAACTGGTTGACTGAGGGGATTTTTAAAAAAGGGACTATTGTAGTTTTAATGTGTTTTTAATACTGCTTTTACTTATACGCTTTTAACATATTTTAAAATTCGTTTTAAATATTGTAATAATGTATTATATACTTTAATCTGCCTTGGATCCTTCACAAGAAAGGTGCCATACAAATATTTTTTAAAAATTTAATTGATTGATTAATTATTCAAAACTACAGTGGTGCCTCGCTAGACAGTAACCCCGCATGACAGTTTTTTCGCTAGACATTGACTTTTTGCGATCACTATAGCGATTTGCAAAACAGTGATTCCTATGGGGGAATTTTGCTAGACAATGTTTGGTCTCTGCTTCGCAAACCGATTTTCGCTAGACACCGATTTTGACAGCTCCCTCTGCGCTCGCAAAACGGGTGTTTTCAGGACCTAAGCTTCGCAAGACAGCAATTTAAACAGCTGATTGGCGGTTCGCAAAGCGGCTTTCCTATGGCCGCTCTTTGCTAGACAACTATGATTCTTCCCCATTGGAACGCATTAAACAGGATTCAATGCATTCCAATAGGGAAATGCTTTTCGCTAGACACTGATTTCGCTAAACAGCGATTTCAGTGGAACGGATTATCATTGTCTAGCGAGGCACCACTGTACTTTCATTTTATCTATTTCTATATGGGCTTCACAGACCATGCTATCACACAACATATTTCTTAATAAAAAGATTACCCACATACTAAATATCTAAAGACACAACAGAAAACAAATTACACAATCTTTTTAATGATACAACTGAACTCTAAAATCCTTGAAAAAACTTTATTAACAACTCATGATTGCAGCAATATTTTTCAATATTGTGATCCAGGCTGCTTTGAAATTCTTATCTTAGAGATCACCATCACACTTTTGAGAGGAACCTTGCACTTAACTTCTTCCGAATAAGTAAATTAGTTCTACACATCCTGTATAGTTGTGTCACTTAAGTGCCGCTTAATGATAGCCTTATGAAAGCTGAGGGATAAGGGTCTCTTTCAATTTAAAGCTTTAGCTAAGAGTTTTGCTCAAGATCACCACAGTAAAGTAAAGCAAGGATTGAAACTAGATCTAAAGAAATCTAAAACTTTCTAAATCAATATAATAACTCTTTTTTTTGGCACAAGGCACTGGTGTACATAACATTCAGAAAGGAACATGTATGCTTTTTATCTTTGGATGTAAAAATTCATTCAACATAGAAACTGGAGATAATTATCAGTTTACATACCATAAGGACTGCGTAGTTACTGAGTGAGTAGCACTGTATGGTAGTTACATTTTCATCTGAAGAAAGAATCTGACATCCATCTGACTTCCACCCCCCATGTCCATTCAGCAAATCAAAGTCCCACTGTACTGCAACAGGATTTGCTCCATGTGCGATGCGTCGTAAAGTCACATTAACAGGAATGTGCTGATGGGGTAAATTTAAGCCATCTAGTTTGTTTATAAAGAAATAAAGACATTGATTGTCCTTTTTCTAAAATGAAAGCAATCATTTTCTAAGAATAAACATATAAATAACAGGCACTGTTATTAAGACAGTATGGTTTTTGTAATGAACAAACCTATTTTGGTGAGGATAACTGGTGTGACCACAGTGAGGTGTTTTTGATTAGCAGCTAAAGTTGTTGAATTCACTGTTGTTGGGAAAAGCTTCCCATTACGAAATGCAATAAGTTGCAGCTTGTAGACAGTCTCATCTGCTGGCCTGATTTCTCTTTTGTTCTTTTTTGAAAAAAGGGCAGGTGGCAACTGTATAGATGCTTCCACAATGGTATTCTATGAAAATCAGACAAGTAATATTACTGCTAAGCTAAAAGACAAGAATTCCTACATATCACTTCTGCTTTAACAAGCCAGTCTGTTTACCCATGAGCAGTGAGTTTACTCTTCTCAAGATGTCCTCAGGAGTGGCCTGCATATGTTTTAGCTTCACCAAGAACTGCCTTCCTATGGTTAATTGTAATGAATTTAACCAAAATAAGAATTTGGCTGAATTGTGAGAGACATTACATCCCCACTCCCACAATATTTATTTATTTATTTATTTATTTAACTTATATGCCGCCCACTCTACCTGAAGGTCTCTGGGCGGCTTACAACAGTTAAAATTCAATAAAAAAAATGATTAAAGTACAATTAAAATGTGGGAATTATTCTAGGATACCCTGAACCACCTGTCTAAGAATACTATTTTGGGATGCAGGTGACCCTAAACTATTGTTTCCTTTTAAAATCAAAATAGAATGGGAAGTCCACCACGAGGCCTTTCACATTGTTCTTGGTTTTAAGGAGAATAAAAACTGCCATTACAAGGACATAATTAAGCTGAACACTCACAAAACCACCATTTTGTCCCTACTCACATTAAGCAGCTTTTCAAAATTAAAATATCTTCCCTGCAACATTTCAGCTCTCCTATGACAGGCAACATCTTCATTCACATTCACTTACCTTAAGTGCAAGGCTTGACAATGTATTTGAGACATTGCACTTAAATCCCAGTTGCTTGTCAAGGCTTCCCTCCAGATCTCTTCGACCATAGTCAGGAAGTCCTATACGGTCTGCTGCAGCTACCTTCTGGAACACAGTGCAGGTCATCCCAGTGAAGCCAGAACTTTTTATTATGTAAGCTTCCACAGCAATATTTGGAGAATACTGTTGAAATAAAACATATAAAATGGTGGTGAAGCAATAACTGGCCTTTGAATGTTACAAAAAAATCAGAAGTGTTCTTAAGAATTCATATAACTAGCTAGAATACAAGATTTCCGTTCAAAATTCCAAACATTCTCATCCTAACTTAGACGAAGATGCCACTAAAATAGAATTTGAGTTTTTTAGAAGAAAAATGTTATTGACACAACTGATGCTTAGCAATGAATAAAAAATGTGACAGTTCCTACCGTTGAGTAAACCTGAGCCCCGTTAGATAGACGGTATGTAGCAATCCTCTGCAAACACTGTACGATTCTAGTACAAGCTTTAGCTTCCCTCTGTGCCATCCACAAGATGTGCTCATCAGCTAGCATTATATTACTTGCAATATCAACCATCACATCACCAAGCTAGCAGACAAAAAGGGCAGAAGAATTGACATTATGCTTTTGTAACTGTTACATCTGGATGTTCAAATACATTTTTTATTTTCATCCATCCAAGTCTCTCTGAGACATTATTCCCATCCTCCCACACTTTATTTTAGGTGGGAGTTAAAATGCATTGCTTTTTTTTTTTAAATAAGGAGAGTTAAGGTGTAAGGTGTCAAATCTTTCTGGCATAGTTTGAACCACTATTTTTGGGGATTAAAAAGAAGGGGGCTTATTTCCATTCTGAGAAAATAAATTTGATGCTTATTGTTTCATTAAGCATATTTAGAAGTATTCATTCTTATAATTCTAAAGATCTTCGGCTGCAGTTCAGTGTCACAGATGAAACTTAGTTCCTAGTAATAGCTCATGAGTCTGAGATCTGTGGCATTTTAATGTCTCAAATTAAGAAAGCTTTTTCTTGCTACCATTGATAAAACAGGTCTTCCTGATAATATATTAAAGAAATATGTTTGTTTTAACTGGGAATGTAAGATACTGTATTCTAACACATGTGGTAATGAGATTTGGTTGTTCAATTAAACAGGTAGGTAGTGAAGGGAATAAGTAAAAGGCAGCTTATATTGCTATGCCAGAGCTAGTGAAATTTGAAACCCTGAGGGAGGAAGAGTGTGGATTTGTTCAAAATGATAAGGGTTAATGGGAGTTCAATGTTCTTTATACCAAATTAGTATAAGAGTAATTTATGAAAAATTAACCTTTGCCCAGTTTTAAAACCCATTTCTTTAGTTTTCTACTCCCAGAAGCACATTCTTTCATGCATTCAACATTTACTCAAATATTCTCTCCTGTGGGGTTCAAATCCCAGGTAGCTGGCTCAAGGTTGACTCAGCCTTCCATCCTTCCGAGGTCGGTAAAATGAGTACCCAGCTTGCTGGGGGGGGGGGCAATGTGTAGCCTGTATAATGAAATTGTAAACCACCCGGAGAGTGCTTGTAGCACTATGTGGCGGTATATAAGTCCAAAAATAAATAAATAAATAAATAATCTACTCGTATTCATAATATGAAACCCTCTTAAATGCACACCTGATTGTGGTGAGGGAATCTCAGTATGTCACAGAAGTTGAGAGCAATATTGATTTCCACATGGCCAGACAAAGATGACCAAATTGGAAGTATCAAAGCTCAGACAACATATTAAGAAGCACCCTTCCTCTTCAGGCATTAACTGCTGCATCAGAAGAGAACTGTCAATTTTGATAGTAATCAGGGTGGACAATTACTTGAAGGGCAGCTATTATAGAGGAACAGATAGCAGAAAGTAATAGTGGTGCAGAATCTTTTGTAGACAATGGCAGTGACCTTCAAGCTAATGCTTTTTTTAAAAAGAGGAATAATTAAAACACTGGTAAACTGTGCAAATCGGAACTGTGAAGCTCAATTTCTCAGCACCGAACTCAACCATCTGAATTGGGCCCTACAGGCAAATGGCTACTCCAAAAATGAAATCACAAGAGCCATCAAACCAAGAAAAGAACACTGAACTGAAGGAAAAAAAAACAGCTACCCACAAAGTATTTCTGCCATACATCAAAGGGGTCACAGACTGCACAGGAAACTTTTGAAAAAAAAAAAACACAACCTACAAACAGCATTCAGGCCCCCACAAAACTACAACAAATGTTACAGTCAGCAAAGGACAAAAGGGACTCCCTCACCTCTGCAGGAGTATACTGGATACGTTGCAGTTGTGGCCAGGTATATATTGGGACCATAAAACACACCATCCACACCAGAATCAAAGAACATGAAAGACACTGCAGATTAAAACCACCAGAAAAATTGGCAGTAGCTGAACAAGCCCTGAAACAAGCTGGACATGAAAACCTCTTTCAAAATACAGATGTACTGTACAACACCAGAAATCATTACATTAAAATACACAGGGAAGCCACTGAAATCTACAAGCATAAGCACAGCTTCAACAAAAAAGAAGTCTATAACTCAACAAAGCCTGGCTCCCAGCACTGAAAAATACAGCCTGCAAAGAGGTCAACAAACTCCACCCAGCCACAAGGACCAGTGATCACTGCACACACTAGCTAATGACACCCATCAATCACAGTGACAGGTCATCTCCCCCTTATTACAACAATACACCCATAACAAAAAACACCCTGATCACCATAATCACCCGATCTCCTGAAAAGGACAAAAAGCTGATCCCACCGCTATAAATACTCAACTTACCCACACACTACAGGAAACAGACAGTTTTCTAACTCCTGTCCTCTGAAGATGCCGGCCACAGAGACTGGTGAAATGTTGGGAAGAAAAACCTCCAGAAAATGGCCAAACAGCCCAAAAAACTTACTGTATAACAACCATCGGATCCTGACCATGAAAGCCTTCGATAATACATTAATGCCTTTTAGTACTGATCAAAAGGAGGTAATGGTAACTGCTTATATTACATAGTTCAGCAAATAATGTAAAAAATATAGTAAAAATCATGTAACACAACTATGAACCAGAAGAACTGAAATCAGAGATATTGTCATTTTGTAGCAAAACCAGCCAACCAACCACAGAAGACTGATTGATGATTAAACCTGTAAAATCGTTAACAATAGGACAGAAGCAAAAGTAAGAAAAGAAATAGTGCTGATGTCATTGTGGACAGTCAGTAGTAAAAGCATTGAAACATGCTGTGTTGCAGTGTAATCTGTGTAACAGCCAAAGATGGAAATGTATAACCCAATAGCTAAATGTAATTGGTGGTTTTGCTGACAAGTCAGATTCCTAGAATTATTATCTGATTTAGCTAGTTATTCAGTGGCAATTTAGTCCACAGAGGAAAAAAATGAAACAAAGTACATACTGTATTATAGATTACAACAAGACTCTAGGTCAGTGGTGGTGAACCTTTTTGGGTTCAGGTGCCCAAACTGGGGGGGGGGGGGCAGG